ATGCTATGGAATGTCTCAAGTTAAAAACAAGTTCACTGTAAGATTTTCATAAAGTTAAGTACTGACTTTACTCGATAGTTTAAATTGCGTGGCTCAAAAAAGATTTATTCAATCCAAAATTCTATTGCAGTTTTAAAATCAATTTGTTCATAGAAGTTCTTTAACAATTTTACGATTTTTCACTGCTGGCTAATGTTTCTTGTCAGTGAGCATCATGCAATTTGAAATAAAATTAAAAGACGAAGAAAATGAAAAGCTGTCACAAACGACATAATTCTTTGTGAAAATGGAAACGTTGATTTTTTCTTACTCTTTGCTATTCACCATCAAACAGTGTGTGCGGTCTCCTTGCTGTTGCTGTATTAAATGAAAGCATGCAGAATGAGTAAGATTTGATTTATTACATTTTCATTTAATCTCTTTCTCCTTTCTTGTTTGTTTGTTTTTCGCTGCCTTTCTGACGCCTTTTTTCTTAAGTTTTCAGTTGCAATTACTGTTCACAATATGCTTATTTAGTATTATGTATATTGAACTAGTTTAATCTTATGAAATCCTTTCTACCTTATAAGAAGTGTCTTGATTAAAAGTTAGATGTCAATAAAATTAGATATTTGCAGATATTTGTTTTATCAGAAGGTTCAGGCACAAAAGATTTTTTTTTTCAAACCAAATGTTGATGACTTAATAGAAATTCAAATAAAAGATGATATAAACATTTGACAATAAATTTAAAAAGGTCTGATTTACGAAGAATAGATTATAGAAGATCGAAGATTTTAGGTTTTTATTCACACTTGTTTTATACCGTTTCGTAGAATAAAAAAGAATTTTTATTTCTTTTATTCTGACACTTACCTCCAGGCATAATACTTTTTATACATAGTTTAAAAACTCACAGTTTTCATGTGACATTTCCATCATTTACTTTACATTGTGATTGATATCAAAAATACAAAAAAAAAAAAATCTGAGAGAAATAGAAACGTTTCAATTATGATCGGAGTGTGATTGATTGCCGATTGCCAATTGGTGATTGAGCCAATGAATGTTGCCTCGAAGCAATGTTATCTCTTTTATATCTTTTAGGTTTATATTATTTGTGTGCTGTTCAAAAGGCATTCAGAAGGACAGAAACGAGAGAAAGAGAGAAAACGTTTATTTTAAATTGATATATGAAATCAAAACTACTCAATCTAAACTGTAATTAATGACTCTGTGTGCGATTGGAAAAGAAAAAAATAAATGAATAAATAACAAATTCAGTAGACTGTTTATTATATGTTACATATGTAGTATCAGGTCTACGTGTAACAAAGAATGACGATTGATTGTGAATTTGTAATGACATTCAAATGACAGAAACTTCGATTGAAATATGTTTGATAGTAAAAGTTGTCGTTAATTTGCTAAATGTTTGATCGTTTCTATAATAAATGATAAGTTTCAAATCTTTTATGTTTTTTTAATCCAAATAATTCGCAGAAACCGTCTTATAGACATAGAAGGAGAAAAAAGAAGAGAAATTAAGTATATTCATTTCTGTCATTTTTAACTTGATGTTTCAAAAATATTTCATCACGCTGTGATCTTGCTAGACATCACTTCGACTGTTTCTTATTCTTTTACCAAATTCCAAACTAAAGTTCTTCATAATTTATCTATTCACATGGATTCTCGCTATTTCATTTGAAATTCTGTTGAATGTTTCATGTCTACTGGGCAAATTTTTTATTAGATTTTCCTTTTTATAACTGGAATTTCTTATATTCATTCCATCAACAGTCAGCCACTCATTTTTTAAAAACATAACAAAAAAAAAATTTGAATAATTTCTCATAACAGTCACTCACTTCAACATAGTTTTAACACCAACTTACGAACTCATTAAATTTCTACACTACATCAACCGAAATCAAGAAACATGAAAATTCATTTTTCTTTCAATTCTGATTCCCGCTGTTGTTGTATACAGTTAAATTATTATTAATGCTGACATGATACATCAAGAAAATTAATAAAACAAACGAATATGGACTACCGATTTCGTAAACATAAAATAAATAAATGAATGTACTTCACAAAATAGAAAGACCCTAGCGTTAAATGAGTCTCAACTCTCGATCAATTTTTTAAATTCTTTTTCTTTTATCCTCGTTGTTTTTCGAATAAGCGAGTCAACTTTGGTAATTTGGTATCACGCAGTTTTGACAAAAAAGTGAAACACGCCTTTGATTGATTCATTTTTTAAAGTTATTTTGTCTCATTCCTTTACATTGCTATGTGCTAGTATTGTGTCTCTTTTGTATTGTATATATTTTTTTTTAACAAAAAGTCAATTATGCCTTAATTTTTAATTTTATTTATAAAGATTTTTATAAAGAAAATTCACAGATGAAAATTTTATTTCGTATTCACTTGATGTAAATTTCACATAAATATGCTCCTCAAAATCTAATAATTTGATTGTTTAAGTACAGATATTTGGAGAAAAGAGAAGAAAAAAACATTTCAGAATATGTAAGTATAATATTTAACAGAGTAAGGAATGAGCAGTCATAACTTTTTTTATATGTGTATGAAAAATATACGAACATATAAACGTTTCTTGTTCTCTTATGATTTATGATGAATCAACGAGATGAAACCTTACAATAATTCACAAATTTACGAATTAAATTTCACATTGGTAAGATGGAATGAAGATGATTTTCTCTTATTTATATGGAGAATGTTGTTACTGGATGTTTTTATATTTGTCTCTTTTTTAAGTATGATTTGAATAAAAATATGTGGAGGCGCGTGAAAGTGTCAAAATTAATTTTTGATGAAGTCTCAAGTTCAACGTTTTTCATTTATCATATCTAAAGACATCCGAAATTTTATTTATGAGGCAGATTTTGAATATTAGGTTCTGTTTTCCTTAAATGTTTCTGTCGTCATATAAGTAATGTTCATTCGAATTTTATTGTAATATTTTTTTTGACATAATTTACTGTTAAAATTTTAATCCCTACATTTTTCAAGAGATATCTTCTTATTCATTTTCATATCATGACATTGATTGTTAATTCATCATTCCATTTCGAATTTCAACATATTTTTATTTATTCATTTAAAATTTTTTATTTTTTTAAAAAAAATTAATTGACGGTGGCCAGGAAGCTTCAGCAGCTTTCATGTCGTTCAAAAATGAAACGAAATGAAGATTTAATTTTGTAAAAAATTTTTATATTCAAGTTTCATATGTAAACCTAAATGAAAAGTGATTTTTAAACACTGTGAATGTGTTAAAAACGAAATTAGATGATGAGAAATATCTAAGCATCAAAAATAAAGGTTTGAAATGGTTGCGTGGGACTTTTATATCGTGATGCTCATCAATGTTATAAAAATGTAGGATAAGAGTCTTTAAGAATAAACAAGTAAAGATTGACAAGTGATATTTCATTATATTCCCCGAACATACAAAGAGCATGCTCAAAAAAGTGAGCATATAAGTGAGTCTACTCAAAAATTATACTCATGCAAGCTCATTCAACTGAGCATGCTCAGGAGTTCATTACGAATGTACTCACTTTAGTTTTTTGCAAAAAATTTATAAGCTCACGTGAGTACATTCAACGAGTGTACTCATGAGAATATTAAGAACATACTTATGTGAATATACTCTTATGAATACACTTCCTAAACATACTCATGAGCATATAATGAACATAATTATATCTATATGACATTTTCAAAAACGTCGACCAACCTTAAATCGAACATCGAATACATTTTTTTATTAGTCGACATTTTCAAAAATGTCGACCAACTTAAAATCAAACTTATAATACATTTTTATGTAAGTCGACATTTTCTAAAATGTTTAAACCAATTTTTTCAAACCAACTTAAAAGCAAATGTTGAATATTTTAGATATGTAATACAAAAATGTACGAAACTTTTTGCAATTTTAAGTTTTCTGCAATGAAATGGAATTAAATTAAAAATTACTTTGCTTTTAAAAAACTATAAGAATTAAGCACGATCAAAATCTTTTTGCTTTCATGGAACTAATATTTGAATTCATAAAATATTTTCAAAAAATGTCGACCTGTATAAAAACGTATTCTAAATTTAATTTTAGGTTAGACTTGCATAAACATGTATTCTTTGTTCGATTTTAAGTTGGTCGACGTTTTTGAAAATGTCGACTTACATAAAAATGTATTCTAAGTTTAATTTTAAGTTGGTCAATTAAGCAGCGTATCAAACTTCAAAGAACTTAGTTTGCCTGTAATAATATAATAATTTAAGTATGTGTTTTGCCATATAAAATTTATTATATATTTACAGAAAATTGCTCCAAGGATGGGTGACCGGATTTTAAAACTTATTCTTATGAATTTGAGATAAAATGTTAATAATAATTTCTAACTCTTCCAAAATTATTCACAGAATTATCCTTATAAAACTCAAATTTAACTTAATTAATTTTTTTGAATTTTGTGACTTTAACTGATTGCACTCATGAATGTGCTCAGATGAGCATATACTCATAATTAAACTCACTGAGCATATATCTTTTGAATATCTTCATGAGTATATGCTCTTTGAGAATGTTCATAAGTATATTCAATAAAAAATGTTGCATTAAAAAAATGTTTCGTGTGGCATGTTGCCTTCTCATTTGAGTATGCATATGAGTTTACTCAGTGAACTTAATGCATGTCACATAGGAATGTGCTCACTGAGCATACTCCAAAAGGTACCGTGATCGCATCACTTTAATGTATGAAATGAGCACATTCTCACAAAAGTTTGCAAGCTCACAAATAATGTGCTCTGAGTATACTCATTGTATGTTCGAATCCCATGCATTTCATTTTTGGAATTGTTTCTTCCTTCTTCTCACTCACTTAGGTAGTTTCTAATGGAATTTATCCCTCAAGAGCACGTAAATATCAAATATTAAAATATGCGGACAATAAGAAGAGAAAAAGGTATTTTTTTTTGATAATGACTCATCGCATAAATATTACAAAATATGAAAGATGTGATCAGTATGTGGCATGGACGTATAAACGATCAAAAATATTTTTATAGATAGAAACTTTTGAACGACTTGAATCTGGTAGGATATTTGTTCAGTTTGTTGATCCATTCTTTAACCTTCAACTGATTTTTGTCTATATCAGCACTTGCGTTGCTTAATTTTTCCTCTAATTTCATCAATTGATTGAAGTTTTTTCCAAGCTTATCATAGAAAGCATCAATCTGAGATTCATTAGAATTGACGTTTAATTTTCGAATTTGTGTAACTTCATTTCCTATTATCTTGTTATTCTTAATTGATGTACTGCATCCGATTTCTTGATTTTTATGCAGTTTGCCTTCCAAAAACTCTAACTTCCTTTCAAGGTTTTCCATTGTTTTTTTTTTCAATAAAACTTCATTTTCTTCAAATTTAACTGATAATTTTAATTCATTGAGTTGTGAACTGATTTTATCAAGACTAAATGAATTAATTTTTATGGCTGAATGTGCTTTAAAACTTTGAATGTTCCCTGAATTTGTCATTCAAATAATTTGTAATCAATTTTGATTTGATTATTAAAAATCGCATGACTTCTTAGATTTTAACACTCATGATAAATTTTTTAACACCAAGAGTGATATGACAAAACTTCACTTACACTGATTAAAATTGTATTCACTTGATTTTCAATTAAATTAACTTTTCATTTGGAATGAGGTAAAAATCTGACAAAATCTTCAGTGTCATTCCGACTATTCCATGTGGATCCTTTACACATAAATTTTATGCTTGAAATTGGAAAGTCAATTTTTTTTCATTTCATAATCAAAGTTGAAGCTTGTAAAAAAAATCTCGAGAGAATTCTCAATGACTGACACAATACGCATGTAATTTTTTTTTGTTATCTTGTGCGACGTTTCCCACACTTTTGCAAACAGAAAAATTCATCAAATTTAAAGCAAAAATTTTAGGGATAAAAATATTATACTTAAGGAAAGCACGTGAAATCTGTAATTGAATAACATTGATTAGCAATAAAAATTGTACACACATTATACGCATGTAATCTAATGGATTTAACATCATAATTTTACATTCATTTATTATTATTGACTTGTCACTTGTGGGTTTTTGCACTTGCCAAATAAATTTTTGTAAGTGATATTATTCAATGTTATTTATATCGGAGGGTGAAGATCATTTTTTTTTTTGGGAAAAAAATACTGCTGTATAATTTTATTCTCATAAATTGCAATGCATTTCCACCCTCGTCTTAATGTTTTTTCTTAAACGTACAGAAATGCTGCATTTAACATAATTATTTTCAATTTCAAAAATTGACTGCCTACACTTTGAGCAAGTAAAAATACATTTTTATGGTGTCGGATTGTATCTCATCCACAATTCGATTCTAAAAGTTGATGTAATAATGAAACCTGATCAAATATTTAGCACCAGTCAAATGGAAAATTGGAAAAATGTGTAGAATGAAATATAGAAAGTTTTTTTTTGCAGGAAATCATGAAGCAATTGTTATTATATTATGTACAAGAGTTGCGACCCTTTTATTTTATTTTTCACACACAGCAACTTGATGATAATTGCATGTGACATGTCGAAAAGTAGAGCAATAAATTTTGTTTTGCTGAGTTAACAATTGACATGGTAGAAATTGAAAAAAAAAATTCAGAATGATTTGAAACTTTTCTGGTTCAGGGATAAAAATTTATTGACGCAATTTAAATTTAATTTTTTCTTAACTCTGATTGAAAAATGCAATGATATCGATCATTGAGAACTTTTTTTATTCCTCATCTCCTTATCTTCTTTGGTTTCATGTTGCATGTACAAACGAAATTACATACTTTGTATATTCGACTTACGCAAGAATTCCCTTTAACAAACACTTGTAAATTCTTAACTTGCCGTCAATTCAATCAAGCAGGCATACACTGCTATACACAGTCCTAAAGATTTTAATTAAGTGATCTATTAGCTGGAAAAATTGCTTTCTGGTAAGCGATTTTGCTTGAAATAAACATCACATGTAGTACTTTGATTCTTGTATTTAGTTTAAGATTTCATGTAATCTGAGACATCGAAAGAATTGAATGCAGAGCGGTAGAGCATTTCAAAGAAGAGGCACCCGCCTATTTTTTTTTGCTAAATAGGAGTCAATTTCAGCAGTAAATTTGATGCGCTACGAATATTTTTCTTTTCTATCATCTATACGTACACATTTCGGCAATAGATATAATGACAGTCACGTGTCATATGATCTTCCTCCTCAATTTGTTCAACCAATGCTTCTTTCTACATTTAATATCAATAAAATGATTTTTATTTTAGCTAAAAGAGGCAACGTCATATAACGCACGTGTTGAGGCTTTATGGACTAGTGAATAACAATACTTATTACAGCTCTTGTGACAAATTTAATTGCAACGTAACATCTCTCATGCCCCATAGATTTATTTTATTAAATTATATGAACTTGTCATTTAAAAATTCTGAATTAGGAACTGCTCATTTTATGCTTCTAAAAGTAAAGATGATTTAAATTGATTTTAAAAAATAAGTTTTTAAGGTTTTACGTAAAAAAATTTTTTTTAAGAAACAAGAAGCATCAAATCTTTTAGATAATAAATTTTCATTGGGCTCGACAGCAGCAACAACAGCAAAATATAAACAGAAAAGAAAGAAAAAGAAAAAAAAAACGGAAAAATTTATTAATTGGATGGTATTTCTTTCATAATTTTTTTCTTTGAATTTTTCTCTTAGTTGGAAGTGTAACAACACATGACTCCAGGACGTGATTTATTGAATTGATGCTGTGGAATTTTAACACCAGAAACTCCGGGTTTGAATTTTTTTATCATTCATAAATTCTCCACTTCTCTTTCTCTAATAGTTTTTTAGCAGAGTTGATGATGCTCATGATGACGACTATTATTATGTGAAGCATATGACATTCTTCAGTGACATACAAGACCACACAAACTGCAATAGAATTTTTAAAAGATTTATGTGGTCGTGAATAATTTTGAATAAAGTAATTATTTAAATCATTTTTTGTTTGCAATATTGGCTGATATTTCTTAATGTTCACAAAGGAGACTGTGTCTACTTCATTTTTTTCCATTGTCATACAAATAATCCTACAAATTAGTAGCTTTATAAAAAATCTAATGAGTTTTTTAAAGACAACTTATGTTGTTTTTATTTAGTGACAGCCACTATATAAGATAAATTATGCCACCGAAGTGACTAGGGTACAAATATATTTGGACAAGTAAATTGAAACAAAATCTTTAAAAATTAAAATTATGCACACAACATTGACTTTGAAAATTTCTTTTCAATCTTAACTGTTTTTGTTCCCGGTTTTCAATGATTTCACTCATTTCGAGGGGAAACTAGTGTTACAAACATATGTTCTTATTTTAATTTTGGGAATATTTTTGAATTTTGAAGGACGTAATATGAATAAACTGTTTTAACGATAAGGAAGCATCGTATGTAAGGAATGTGATAAAAATAATCAATTTTTTCGCTTCGTTGAGTTTCCCATGAAATTTATTTCCTCGCTTTTTATGATCGTCAAATAGCCATAGAAGCTATAAAATTTAACTTGAAATTAGACTTGAATAAAATTCATCAATAAAAAAGGCTTGAAATGTAGTTAAATTTTTTTCAATTAATTTTCGTCTACAGAAACGATACTTTAACGTTTCATACTTTATTTTTTGAACTTGGTAGCTTTAACAATTTGTAAAGTTCCATAAAATTCATCAAAGCGTGCAGAAATATCATAAAATGTGCCCCGTGTATCATGATAATTATTCACCATAAATAATATTTTTTTATAGCCTGGTTCTGAAAGAAAAGCTGTGTGAAAGACACATCTTTTTGAGTTTAAAAAAACTTTATAATTAATAATTATAAAAAATCATCTGATTACTAAATACAATTTTTAATTTAATGGTTTAAATTAAATTTGATCTATTTTGAAGTAAAGGATTCAGTCTTTACTTGACTAAAATGCATTATTAAGAATTTGGAAATAAAAATGAAGAGTTATAAAAAGTAGTAATTAACTCTAGAAATCGTAAAATTTTATTTAAATAATTTTTGTGGTTCGATAGTCATTTATTTTGCTGGTTGTTAATTAAAGTAAGTAACGAAAAATAGCTTAATTAGATTGTTGTGACTTTTGAATTTTGTGAAGCAAATAAATAAAAGAAATTAATTTTTTAAGAATTTATTAGCAGCAGGCTACTGCATCAACATGAGACTAGTTATGAATATTTCTTTTACAAATATTCTAAAGAGATAAAAGAGTAATGTAAAATTATGAGGAAAAAATTCAAGCGGAAGTGATTAGATATGACATGAAAAGACACGATTGAGACTCACGTTCGTCATCAAGTCAATCGACTTCATAATTTGGCGCCATCAACAGAAGCAAAAAATTTCTCTTCTTTTCTTTTCTCAAATGTATTTTAAAACATCATGTGTATCTTTATTTCATTTTTATTTTCCTCTTTACCAACCATAGTAAAACTATTATCTCATTTTAGAACACTTGAGTTTCGTACCACATAAGTAACAATAATTTATTTCCCTGAACAAATTTTTTTCTTTGGTTTTTAATAACAATATTTTTAATATTAATGACTCATCATTCATCAAGTTTAAGTGAGTTTCACGATTACAGGGAATTTCATATATTTTTCTTCTATTTTCGAAAAATATTCTTATGTGTGTTCCAGGAAATTGATATTTTTTAAAAAAAAATTAATATTATTGTAGTTTTTAAGATAAATAAATTTAAAATTTCAATGTTTTTATTCTACCTTAATACTAGACAGTCAAAATTCGGAAAAACTTTCCACATTTTAAAAAAAAATTTGACTGCCTCAATAATTATTTCACAGTTAAACATTCAAGTCTATTACACATCCAAAATAATGTGTGAGACATTTTTTCAAATCTGTTCTTCTTTTTCCTTCAATTTTTCGTTTAAAACTCTATTGTGCGCAATTTTCTGTCAAAAATCTCATTAAAAGCATAAAGCGTGTAATGAGATAAGGGTGTGCGCACAGCTCTCTCTCTCCCCCTACTTTACATTTCGACGCCAATTTATCTCTTTCATTTAAGTATGAGTAAAGCTGTAAAGTTGTAAAAAAATTTTAACTTCACTTCTTATTTCTTAAATGTCAATATGATAAAAAAATATTCAGGGTTGTATTTTTACTTGATAGATTAGTATGTGTGCCTGTGCGTGTATATTTGCAGGCCTAAATGCCACGTTTTAAATTATTGCAGTCGTCAAACTGTGAATGAAAAGGAGTAAGTGTGAATGATAGCGTTAGCATAGAAGTTTCAGCAACATTGAGAATCTCGTTAAAATATTCCAAATGAGATAAGACATCATTGTACCGTAAAGATTTTCGATGGTGAAAAACTTTATTTGCTTTTTGCAGGGTTTGGTCAAACCAGAAGGACTCCTTTTGTAGATACGCTGTT